CCTTTGGAAATACATTCTCTATTAGATGCCCAGAACTAGTTGAGAAGTTTGCAAGTTGAATCCAAATTTCCCATAGAAATGCATTGAAAATTAATTAATGCATTTTTATGGGGGGGGGGAAACAGGTGCTGTAGCCTTGCTCTTCACAGTGCCTTGGTAGACCCCAGAACAGCCAAAAAAGAGCCCCAAACAGCTAAAAGCCAGCAGGCAGCTGGCAGCCATTTTGTGCTCTTCTCCAGTCCTGCTCCTTTCCCCTCCCCTCTCCCCACCTAACAGCTGATCGGCGCTGGTCTGAACACTTCCTCGGCAGCTTTTAAAGCAAGTACTGTATGCACGTTTCTACACAAGTAGGTTTCAACTCAAACGGAGCATCTTTTCACCCAAGCACTAACCCCAAACAAGCAGCTTTTAAACTAAATTTTACATTTTAAAATGACAATACCAGGCAGTCCCAGGTCTCTCTCCCAGCTCTCTAACTGCTTGGACTAGCAAGGAAGCAGACAAGCAGCCTTTTCACTAACTGAAAGTTTGAATTTCCCCGCTTTCCCCGCATATTAGGTATGCTAATATCTGTGCACTGGAGGATTGTGGGAGGAACATCCAGCCTCTGATGGGGGTCCTTTGGGGCACCCCAAAACACTGAGTAGCTCTCTTGGCCTCTTTCGGGACTGGGGCTGTGCAGCCCTGTTCTGATCAGGAGGTGCAGCCAGGGAGTCACCATGACTTTGGGGGACAGGGCACAGAAAGGGGCAGGAGGTTCAGAGGCCATTCTACCTCATACCTGGCAGGGGAGAGACCATGATCATCAAAGTGGTTTTCCCAGGTTGAGGCTCATGTATTGCACTCTGGATGTGCTGACCCCTGTGATTTCCCCAAATATGGGAAAATCAACTGCCTAAGTGGGGAACTGTATTTGTGGTTTCCCCTGGTTTTTCTAGAATTACTCTTTCCCCTTTTGTCCTTGGCTGTTTTCACTGTCTGCTGCCATGGGCCTTTTGGCCTTGCTGGTTTTCCAGGTGGGCTCCAGGAAGCAGATCCTAGAAAGCTAGCAGTGCAGAATGGTGAGGTCCAAAGAGCAAGCAGTCTCTGGTGCTAGTTCAGAGGCCACCCAGCATCACAGTGGGGGGCTTCTGGGTGGTGGTGATTGATCCCCCTTTTTACTGTATTTGTTCCATAAGATGCACATACTTTCTCCCCCACTATTTGTGGGAGAAAAGTGCATCTTATGGAGCAAAAAATACGGTACTTGTTACATCTTAGAAAGCTATCAGAACAGATACAAGCTTCCGGAGACCCAAGATTTGTAGGAAAAGAGGGTGCTAGTCTCAAGAAGGGCAGAGAAATTCTTGCGAGCATGAGAAAGGTTTTTCCATTATATAAAGACTGTTTTGGCCTTTTGGTGAAGATCAAATGTACTGTATAAACACTTGAGAGTATTTATTTATTTAGGTATTTTTTACAGTTGCTTGTAAATGCCTTGAAACATTTATAATGAACGGCAGAGGATAAAGATGTTATGCTTCATTAATTAATGCCACAGCAAGTCCTCAATATTGTAACAGACATGTTAAGCGAGAAGAGGAAAAAGAGAGACAGAGTATGGAGAAAGAAAAGGGAGGAGTGGCCTCTTTATCACAGGTGAATATTTGGACAGGGTCTTACCCCAGCAGGGAGTCGTCCCCTAGGATAGCAGAACCTTCCATCAAGCATTGGGCAAGTGACGTCAAAGGCAATTTCTTCTGCAACAAAAGCAATGACTCTATGAAACTACAAAAATCCACTACATTATGAGCCTGAGTCATCTCCCTCCCAGAAAATGACACTATTTCCATACAATCTAGATTAAAAAAAACTCTTTAAAAAATCATATTCATGCTACTATATTGTTTTTCAACAGAAAAGCCAGCTGAGATGTCTTCTCAACTCAACTCAATTCCATCCCATCCTACCTCTGCTTAGTGCAAACACAAAGAGACAAGAGCCCAGTCTTATTGCCTGGTGGAAGTTGGCATCTCTCACCGAGCGCTTATCAGAATCTGATCCTTGCTGCCCCTGAAGACATGCAGTCAGCTTCTTGTGTGTGCTGTGGGAGACCTGCTTCACGAGTTCCAAACGCTTCTCCACCTGGGGAAGAACACAGCAGTACACACCACATCAAAAGTGTTCAGCCTCAGCTCCCAGCAACCTATAGGCATCCACCTCTCTCTCTCTCTCTCTCTCTCTCACACACACACACACACACACACACATATACACACAAAACGCAGACACGCACAAACACACACACTCTCTCTCCTCCCACTGCAGCTCCAAACCACATAGGCCCTGAATCCTGGCTCCCTTAAGAATCTACCCCTAGCCTGCTTTCAACAGCAGTCCTTTTCAGCAAGCTGAACTGAATGAAAATTAATGAGCAAATGCCATTTTAAATAGTTGATTATTTAATTAGATTTCACAAGCAAGTGATTGATTTAACAGTAAGTGCATCTATATTTTCCAGTCCCAATAAGGACACATACATCATCATGATTCATAAGGCTTAAGTATTGGAAAGTAGGGAGGCAAGTGCTTCAGCATTAATTTTAGTTGAATACCTAGAAATAAGATGAATGCCATTAAGCAAAATAATTTTTTTTAAAAAACCATGCTTATGACCACATGAAAAATGTGAGTGTGTTTGTTTGTATACACATGCACATACATTTGATATCTTGGTTGCTTTTTAAAGGAGAACAGAAGGGTCACTAAATAAATAAAATGAGAGAGGAAATCATCATGACATTAAATAGCAATAAGTAAGCTTGGGGTGCGAGAGAGAAGTGGAACAGACTTGGAGTTGGGAGAAAAGACAGAAGAGTGCATAGGGTTTCTCTGGATTAGTGGCACTCTCTTTGATCCCAGATACCAGGTCTATAAATAATTTTTATGATACTCCTTATAGACACCATGTGTATAAGTAAACACATCTATTGTCAAGTACACAAAAGATATGCACATGTAAAATTTAACCTGTGTAAAATAGGCTCGGCCCCCACATCCATGTATTTCAAAAAGAAACCAACACCATTTTTTGCACTAGAGAAATTTCTCAACTCCAGATCACATTTTGGTTACAAGCCAGCTAATGAAGTCTGGACTGAAAGGATGCACACATGAAATGACAACCTTGAGCATTTTCTCTGATCACAGACCTATGGAGCTAAGAGAGTCCAAATAGGGCATTTCCTCTAACACAGCATCACCCTCCTATTGACTCTTTAGAAACCAATATAATCAACAATCGATATGTTGCACAGAATGCCTTAAGCATGAACAACTGGACTGGGGACACGGGACAGGCAAAAGAGCCATGCTACAATCAATTGGAAAAGGTCAACATCTCCCAGTGACACTAGCCAACTGGAAAGGAGAAAAGCGTTTTTCCTAAATATAGCACTATTCCATTAAGGTCCATTTTTCTAAGCGTCTAGAGTCAATGCTGAAATACAGGAGATGCAGACACTAGGAATGGATTGCCATTCAACTGGCTCATCAAACACTGCCAGTTGACTGCCTAATTATTTGACCATAGTCTAGCATCTTTTATCAGTCATGCATTCTATCCGCATGCATCTCTGAACAGATAGCAAGGCTCAGGCAGAAAGAAGAGAAAAACATGCACAAATACAATCACGATAGCAGCAGAAGTCACAGAAGTCCAGTAATCAAGACCTAAAACCAGCTTTCTGACTTCTGTTATCTCCCCGGTGCTCTACCTCCTTGAAGAAGAAGATTCCAGAGCAAATCAGCACTGAAAATGGTGTAACTTTTCTTTGCTGAATACATTTAACACATTGACAAGAATCCTATTCCATACTTATGCCAACATGTTTCAACAGCAAATTGCTGAAGTGTAGGATGTCAATGTAAGTATCTGCTGCTGCACATGTGACTGCTGGGCAATAGCAAATGGGTGGGCCAATGAATTAACTTACAGCAATTTGCTGCTGAAATGTACACTGATACAAGTTATGCTGCTTTGTGTAACTAACAGGATTCTGGCTATTATATACTTGCCTATTGCTTGAGCATACTGTCCTCTTGTGAGATCATATGTGACTCAAGTGTCATCTTCTAGTGACATTACACCACCCTCATTCCTTCTCGTTTTAGAAAAGAGGTGTGTAATACTTTCTGAAAACGGATGCTGGAAAATAAAAGAATGCACAAAGCCATTCTCGGGACATGCAGCATAGCAACAAAGGTGTGCAGAGGGCACTTGCCTACCCCGTTAGCTTTCTGAGTGTTAATTTGAAAATCTGGGAAGAGAAGTCAGAGGCTGCAATGGAGAGTTCTTTACAAACTGCATGAGCAAATGTTCAGATCCAAGAACTGGAACACTTTTTGCTCCTGACTTGATCAAACTGGAAACATTGCACAGAGCTCAGCAGAATATGACTCCAGACACAAATGCAGACGACCTTTGAAATGTGAAGCTGAGCGGCTTGGGGAAAACATGCTCTTAAACAGGGAAATCAAAATCATAGGGGGAAAATAGACTGAACAAGTAAAACACCATTACTTTTTTTGGTATCAAGGTAATCACTAAAACAGCAACAGAAGCACAAAATATTCTGGAATATACAGTAATGAGCAGCCAAATTCTGAAGTCAGTCTGAGCCTTTCTTATGAAAAGCAGACCCCACAGCAATAACTTGTACAGTGGTGCCTCGCACAACGAGTGCCTCACACAACGATGAATTCACACAACGATGCCTTTTTCTGTTAAATTTGCTGCCTCACACAGCAATGTTTCCTATGGGGGATTTTCACACAACGATCTCCCTTTTCGCTCCTGTAAAAGTGTCTTACAATGTTTGGACGCTGTTTTAAATGATTGCAATGGTTAGTCCACCTCCTGAAACCTATGCAAACTGATTTTGGTGTTGTTCTGACACTTCGTTAATTTATGATGATTTTTTGTTTTTTCCATTGGAAACCATTAGACAGACCATCCAATGGTTTCCAATGGAGAAAATTCAAAAAATCATCATAAATTAACGAAGTGTCAGAACAACACCAAAATCAGTTTGCATAGGTTTCAGGAGGTGGACTAACCATTGCAATCATTTAAAACAGCGTCCAAACATTGTAAGACACTTTTACAGGAGCGAAAAAGGACTTCGCAAAGGCATTGAAATGTATTGAGTCGGCTTCAATACATACCAATATAGGAAACATTGTTTCACTCAACGATGTTTCCTATGGGGATTTTCACTGAACGATGGCAATCTGTTCCAATTGGAACGGATTAACCAGTTTTCAATTCATTCCTATGGGAAATGGTGTTTCACAGAACGATGTTTCACACAACGTTGATTTTTTTGGAACCAATTAACATCGTTGTGTGAGGCACCACTGTATTGCAAAATGCCATGCCAGAAACTCCTGGTTTACCCACTATCCACAGAAAACAAACTGTTCTGTAGACACAGCACATCCCATATAGGTTCTGTAGAAATGATATAGAATTCAGCAATGAAATCAAAATAAATCTTCAATCCGTCTCTGTAGAGCCAGATATTCCATTAGAGATTTATGTCATTATTGCAATTGTGTAAACGGAAGCAAAAAAACAACTGCTACTTGCATTCCATGTGACATGCCAGTCATGCAACTAGGTGCCTGACCTGAAATGCCAGTGGCAGCTTGTTAATTAACAACAATTTGACATGGAGATATACTAAATTACACTTACATGGAAGGAAGCAAGAGACCAGCTTTCCATCATGAGGAAGGATATTCAAAGCCCTTGACCACCCTGCTAATGGAATGGCAGGATGGATGCAAACTTTTCTGGCACCCCAAAAAGTGGAAGACCAAGCAGAAGGGAAAATGCATAGGTTTTTGTGCTTCAGTTGCACCCTTTGTAATCTAATTACCAGAGCATTGAGTGACATAAAGGCCCCCTCACTCCTCACACAACTGTTTGTCTTCACTGTTAATGCTAAAGATGCATTCTACTTTGTAAACTCTTGCACATGCATTTTGAAGCTATACAATCTCTGGGAAGCTCTGAATGACTGACTTTTTCCAAACATTGAAACACTCTGTAGAGACGCAGGAGAGCCTATTACAATACTGCCTAAGTATAGGCAAACCTATGTTTATATTTAATAATATTTCACTTGATTTTTAAAAATACAACCCAGCACCACCAGACTACAAAACCACAGCTAGTGACTCTAATATGCAATAAATACAGTGGTTTAAAAACTAAAATGGTTGCCAAAGTAGCCATTTCCTTTGCCCATTCCTTAAAGATTGCTGCTGTTTGGCACACCTGAATTCCAGCCAGGCTACAGAATTGTATTTTCAGTTTTATGCATGGAGTAGCGCAAAACAAATGAATGATGTGCCCTTTGTGTTTAGTGGGAAGAAGGTTTTGAAAAAAATGAAAAACCACAATACCTGTAACAGATCTTCACTCAGGACTTCAGTTTTTTCAGCCCTAAAGGTAAAGAAGAAAAGAAGTCACTCAAGGAAAAGAAAAATGAGTGGAAAATGGCACACGGTAATTCACTTATTGTAAAGAAACAGCTGGGGAAGACAAGAAGCACTAGTGGGGCATAGCCATTAAGAGAATAAGAGACCAGGCATTAGGAGAACTGTCTGGTTGCAACGTGCCACTCAGCTATGAAGCGCAATGGGTGTGACCCTGGGCTACTCCTTCCTTCTTAACTCTTCCCATATCTTGCAGGATTGTGAGGTGAAACAAAATGGGGTGAAAGAGTTTTTATGCCACCTTGAGATTTTTAGAGGAAGGGAGTTTGGACATAAATGTATCAAACAATTTAAGAATGTCCTGTGAGTAATTATAAGGACATGCTTTTCTCCTTGCAGCCATAAATTACTTTATATTCAGTAATAGATTTTGATTACTGATGCTTTGCTGGCCTGTTTTACCCCACTAAGCTCTACCTGGAATAAGTGAAGATGACTGTAATAGTCATTAATGTTTTCATTACCAAGATTTTTTTTCTGTATACATCTATACTGCAGTGTAATAAACATTTTAAAAAGAACATTTAGAGGGCAGTCTGTAGTGCTGGAAACAAAGACTGTTCATTCTGGTGAGATGCAGTTGCATTAATGCCCTCCAGCACTTCTCCGCTGTCTGGCAATGCTTCATTTACATGAGATGGATGCCCTTCTTTACCCAAATCCACATCAATCAAACCCCCTCCCCATTATGTTAGCATTAAAAAAAGGTCTGGTGGAGGGGGAACCATGTGCCTTGTTTTATAGAGAATGCTTGCACTTCCTGAAGGGTACTACTTGTTGTAAGTAAAATGCTCAGTAAACAGTACCTGACCATTGTCCAAGGTTTTCATGAGGATAGAATAGATTTGAAAGGGTTGTGCTTACACTTAAAAGAAGTATGAAAACAATACCATTGGTAATGGAGTCTGTGTAGCCTGTATAGGAAGGTGTGCTTGAGGAATACACAGCTCATGCATAATTTACAATGCAAAAATTTATACTTTCTCTCAAGTTGTCTTAGGAACCTTTGAATTTATCTGAGCAGAGCATCTCTGGGTGATTGGCAATCTTGCAGAGGAAGATATAAGTAGTAGCTAAGTTAACTTGTAGATTCAGTCCTTGAAAATTGGGATGCCTAGCAGAGCACAATTTCCCTTTTGGAAGATCTGGACACGGTCACACATGCCTCAGTTACAACCTGGCTTATTTTACTGTAACATGCTCGACGTGTGGCTGTTTACGTAAAGCGTCAGGAAACTTCAGTAGGTCCAAAAGGCACCAGCCAAATTGGTGACTGGGGCTGGTTACAGAAAACACATAAGCCCCCAGTTACAGCAACTCCACTGGCTGCCAATCCATTTCTGGACACAATTCAAAGTGCTGGTTTTAACCTATAAAGCCTTAAACAGCTTGGGTCCAAGCTATCTCAAGGACTGGGTCTCCCATTATGAGCCTGCTTGGGTGTTGATATTATCAGGCGAGGCCTTTCTCTCGGTCTATCACCTTCACAGCTTTAAATATAATCTTTTAATGATATGAGCCACCTTAGGTCCTTTTAAAGGAGGAAAGCAGGCAATCAATCAATCAATCAATCAATCAATCAATCTAGACATATCTATACCAGAAAAATTGCTTATATATTTAATTTTTTTTTAACCTGACCTATTTAGAACAGGAAACAACACAAATATCTCAAGGCAACTTGCAATTCTAAAACCAAACAAAATATATGCAGACCAATAAATAAACATGGCAAAACAGAATCAACTGAGTTGATTCGCAAACAACACAGACAGCAATTTGTGAGCAGCTACTGAAGTGAACAGAACAAAAAGAACAGAAAAACAAACCCCCCAAGAGAGAAATCCTACTTTAGCACAGATCATTATATGGGAGCACGGCATTTTCAATATAGTTCGAACCTACACATAAGAGCAGTTCTATTGGACAGACTTAATACCTGTTTGGTTCATCAAGTTGTTTCCCACACTAGCCAATGAAATATCAAAGGGAAAGGCAGGGCATGAGGGCAATGAGACCTTCCCACTCCTGTTCCTCCGTAAGTGTTGATCAGATGACTGTTCTCTCCAATCCTGATGATAACATACAGCCACCACAAATACTAGCCACTGATTGCTTTATCCTCTATGCATTTAATGAATCCAATTTGGAGGGTCTTCTAGGCCAGGGGAACCAGATGTTGGTGAATTCCTACTCCCAACATAACTTAATACTGGCCAGGTCTTATGAGAACATTGGTCAAGTAGCCCTGCTCTTGTCCACTCCTACTTCCAACACAGGACCTGCAATATCTAATGCAGCTGCTGCACCTCTTGATAACAACTGTCAAAACATTCCTAAAACAGATCTAGAGAAAAAGAATACACCACGTCTTGAAGCAGCCTAACCCACTGTCACACAGCTCATATTGATACAGAAGCTTTTCCTGATCTCTCTGTGTGTATGTGTGTGGGGGAATGGGACTCTGCTTCTCTGTAATTTACTCAATTTGGATCAGATATTTGAAGGTCTTGTGATGTCTTTCCTTAAAACCTCTCATGCAAGCTAAACATCATTGTCCAACTATTCCTCCTAGCACTTGGTTTTCAGAACGTGCATCATCCTGACTGCTCTACTGTGGGGATGTTTCAGTTTGTCACAATTTTTTAAAGTGTGGTGCCCAGAATTAGACAGAATACTTCAGATACACTTGAGCAACACAGAAGAGAGGAGAGCTATTACTTCTCGCTGCTCTCTGCTCTACAACTTTCTCAAGACTGATGCAGAGGTAATAATAAATTCTCGTTGGGGTTGGTTGCTCAACTATGTGTGAATTCAGTTCAACATGTTACCATGTTGTCAAGAAGGATATGATGGTGAGCTTTGTTAAGTTTCCCTGAAACTAAGATACATTATACAGTATTCTACAACATTTCCACAATCTAGCAGATTAATAACATTATTTTTTAAAGGATGGATGTTCTGAATCCATGTCCACTTTAAACAATCACAACTGGAGGATCAGGACCAACCACCCAACAATCCATTGTAGAATTCTGCTTGGTACTGGTGTCTGGCTGGAATGCCAAAATCTATCTTTCACTTTCTGAAGATGGGAGTAAAGTTTTCTCCTGTCCAGCTCTCTGACATATTTTCCTATTCTACAAGAGTTCTCAAAAAATTACAGCCAACAGTTCTCAGGGGGGGAAATGCCTGCAAGCTCTTTCAATTGATCTGGCCCTGGAGAGCTGAATTCATTCTAACTAATGTTGTTCTCTAACTGCATCTATGTACACCAAGTTGCAGGCCCCTTATATAATTTGCCCTACTTGTCCCAAGCTCAGCATTACACACCTTTCTAGGAAAAAGACTGAGACAAAACAGGAGTAATTCTGCTTCCTGGCATTTTTTAACACTTTATAAACTTCCTTAAGCAGCAAACCTACCTCTTGTATTGGGTCTGAATGCAGAGTGGCAAGGACAGCACACATCCGATAGGGCAGCGGTGCTCAATCGTGAGTCTTTTAGACTAGTGGTTACCAACCTTGGGTAACCCAGGTGTTCTTAAACTGTAACTCCCAAACACCTCAGCCAGCACAGCTGGTGGTGAAGGATTCTGGGAATTGTAGTCCAAGAACACTCAGTTACCCTAGGTTGGGAACCATTATTCTAGACTTCATCTCCCAGAATCCCTGACCATTAGTTATATGGGCTGTGACTTCCCAGGAATTGATTTCCAAAATATCTGGGAGACCCAAGACCGGGAACCATTGTGAAAATGATCCAGACTGTGTGCAGGATGTCCATGAACATCACCTATGAAACCACACTAAAAGACCAGATAGGATCAGCCAGCCAGTTCTCATTCACCCACTCCCAAGAATCTAAAGGCTTCTGATTGTTTCTAGAACAGGTATGGGATATTTGTATTAGGATCCCTGCAGGGACTTGTCATCCCACCTTCTCGCTGGAGTGGTTGGATGTGCAGAGAAGTTTGGAAATGCTGGCTATGCTGCTTCCCGGACTGGTGTGATGAGAACTATGCCAGCTGCATGCATTGCATGGCTAGCAGTAAGTGGACCTGTTGGTTTGGTGGGGGGAAGGTCTGGATAAGGATATGAATACCTTCTAGAATACTGTATACTAGAAAGCAAAAGACTCTCTTCTTCCCACTCTTTGCTACAATGGAACATTTTCACCTTTGACTTCCTTCACCATTTCAGACTTAACAGGATGTGGGCCACACACACTTATCTCTGAAAATATATGCAGGGAATGACTGATTTGCCTGGTGCATATGCATGAGCTGTGCAGATTCTCCAGTTTCTTGAATACGTTTGGAAGTCTGACACAGAAAGATTATTAAATTGCATAGAGGCTTTTTTATTAAATGCAAACAGCATGAAAAACATACATTTTTAGGTTGTTTCTTGACTATCATGCTTCAGATCCGATACCGGAATGCTGATTTTGCAGATCAAATACCAATTTCATGGTCCAAAGACCAACACAAAATTGGACCTTACATTTCAAGACAAACCTGTTGTGCTTGAAAATTTGACCTTTGCATCAGAATATACAAAAACTTACTTTAAGCATAATTTTGCTTCTGCTCTAATAAATGCAAAGACAACTTTTGGAACTGCTGCTAGGGCAAGAAGAATATAAGAACTACTTCGCTGGATCAGAACAGAGGTTCCCGAAACAGAATTGCTGTATTAAATCTCCTACTGACACCTGGTAGGCACAACTGAGGAAGCTGAAAACTGTGCAACTGAGACAGATGCATTTTGTTGACTATCACCAGAGTCTGACATTGCTGGTATAGCACCTCTAAACTTGAGACTTCATTGTAATGCTTTGGACACTGACTATCCATTTATTTATTTTGTTTTCATTATTCATATGTCACCCTTTATGACACCATATTGAGATTCAGTATGAATACAAGAGTTAAAAAAAAATCAA